AATAATATTTAATATAGTGGATGGTGTGCTGTACCTAATAAACTTGAGTTAACCTCAAAAGTTAGATATTCCGCCTGCCTCCCCATTTTTGTGTAATGAAAAAGCAGCACTGTTTGTTTAAAGAGAGACCTCTCTGATGCAACATATCTTTAAATGTTCGTAATAGATTACAAACAGATTTCTTTTAAAAAATAAACGTATATAATGTAAGTAACTTTTTATCCACTCTCGTTAAAAAGACAACACTACATATAATCAAAGCAAAGTTGGTAGAGTAAATGGCTTTTAAAAATAATTTACTCCTCTAGAGATTTAGGGTGTGTATGAGGTAAGGGTTTTTTTAATTTATTACAGTAATGATTTACAGCAGTATTTTTTACTGAGCACAGACAGTACTAAAGATATGCAAAGACAGTACAAGTGTGAAATGCACTGTAGAACAGTTTTTAACTTACACTCTTTAAAAACATGGTAAACCATATTCCTAAAATGAAAACTGATGAGTTACAGTATATAGTAATGGCTTCTGCCTTTGGTCTTCTTAAACTGAAGTAGTCCAACCCATTTTACAAAATGTCTGCTGCACATGCACTGAAGCACTCTTCCGGCAGCTAAAGATTTTTAGCTCAGGGTATTATTGCAAGAGCATGGCAACACTAATAACTTAGAACTGCTTGGGACTACATTGAGTTGCAACAGTTGGTAAAAAGATTATGCATCGTGTTCTTGCAAGATAATGTAGACTTGTTTTACATAATTTAATTGAGGACTTACAGCTCAAAACGGGAAAGGGAAACTGAGAAAATCACACTTGCAGAATCAACAGATCTGGGTACTTATGGATCAGATGAGGAAGTGGGTTCCAGTATTGAGAACCTGTCACTAAAAATTCATCATGATTTTTTTTCCAATTAAATTGGAGAGGTCTATGCTTGACTACTCGGACATTTCACTTATTTACCATTACTATTCTCATGTATTGAAGACAGTGTTATTTTCTTACCCAAAGGTGACTTTTTGTTGTTGTTGTTGTTTTTAAAGTAGTAAGTAGTCCAGTATAGGTTGTGTTTAATTTTTCTTATCTATTTTGGGGGAGCACAAAGATTCACAGGATTCTTGATCTCTCTGCGGAATAACTGTGGGGGAATAACTGTGCCTCATAGGATTTCTTCATATCAGCAGGTCTGTCAAAGACTTGTTTACTGGGTAGCATGAAGGAGCTTTATTGTCCTGGTCCTAGTGGGAGCTGGATCCAGGATCAAGCAATTTCTACTCTACCGTATAGGATAGGGGTGGGCTTTGCATTTTACTATCAAAGTATAAACTCTCTTTTCCTCCCCCCAATTAGTGTGATGGAACTGGCTTTCAGAGCTGCCTCCTTTTCCCCTTCTTCCCCCAATCACTTAGTTTATTCCTTTACAAAGAAGATGGGCAAAATAGGACATGTGGGATTGATCTTGCCTACCAAGCCACTGGAGTCATCCCAGGACCTAGCAGGAACCTCAGTCAGGTTCCCTGCCTGCCCCTTCCCCATATGCCACTCAGACCAACAGGCTGCATGGATCATGTGCTTCTCTGAATATTGTGGGCCTGGAGGATTTCTGGCTAATGGGAGCTACCTGTTTGTAGTATAGGCAGCATGCAAAGTACTCTCTTTTTTTTTTTTTCCTCCCCTCCCCCCCTTCCCCTGACCTCTCAGGATCGCAGCCTTTAGAGAAGCACATAGCCCCTGCAGCTTCCCCATAACCTCTCATCCCTCCTCCTCCACCTCCCCACGCCTCTACCCCATGCAACCAAAACCCTCTGTACCCTCACTGCTGTAACCCCTGCTTCACCCAAACTCCCTCCCAGGTCCTACACACCCTCCTTTAGCCTATTTCCTTACCCCAAGCACCCTTTTGCACTTAGCTTCCATCCATCCTGCATCTCCTCCATTAATATCATTGAAGAGTGTGACCCTTGACTACTTATCGTATTCTTAGAGTGGCTCACCATCTCCCTTACAGCACAGGTAGGGAACTTTTTTCAGTCTGGGGTTACTGACCCATAGCAAAATCAGTTGGGAGTCAGACAAATAATAAGAAAGAAGCCTCACCTTATGTACTCACTCAACTTGGGTGTTGGAGTACCAATGCTTGGAGACTTACCATGGGACTGGATTGAGCCCATGAGCAGTAGGTTCCCCATCCCTGCTTTAAAGCAATAGCAGGAAATGTCCCCGTGGCTGATAAGCATCATCATCATGTGCTATTAATGGGTCTAGATCAGTGGTTCTCAACATAGGTAACATTGTGCCTCATATGCAGCTCCCTGAGTTATGTGGACCACATCCACATATATACTAATTATATGGCCCTGAGGTGTTGTGCCACAGCTGTGTGATTGGGCTGCAAGTGGCCCGTCAGTTGAGAGAGACTGATTTAGTTTGAAGAAAAAGTAGGATTAAGCACCTGCAAAAGCCTTTATTAATAGGTGACAAAATAAGTACTGACAGCACATATGTCCTGTTGAACTACTAGTGAGGAAAAGGAGATAGATGCCATATCTGCAGTAAAGTAGCTGCACTAGTGCTGATTACATGTAGAAGTGGAGCACTGGTGTGACTTGGCACAATGTAGCCCAGTCTGAAACTGAGGCAAGACGAGCATGTCTATATTAGGAGCACTTTACCAGCCCTTTGCTTATCTACTTTACCTGTATTCCTGTATCAGTAGTGTGTATGTAGATGTACTCAGTGCTTTTTTGTAAGAAAAAAGATGCTGGTACTCTGGGCTCAAAGTTGTTGAGGGAATGGGGGGTGGGGGAGAAAAGCTGTGGTGGGGGCAGAAATGCAGTTGCAGCCTCTTTAAGAGCCAAGCTGCGTGTCCCGAGCACGCTTCCATTGGGAACCAAACCGCCTCAGAAAATAGGTGCTGCTATGCCAGAGGGGAATCCCATTCAGTTAAAGTATGATGGGGAAAACAGGTGCCGGTACGCTATCCCAGGGCATACTGTCACAAAAAAAAGGGGAAGGGGTGAGAGGGGCAAGTTCTGGGAGGGAATTTGGGTTAAGGAGGATGTAGAGAAGAGGTTGCTGGCTCAGAGGGGGGCTCCAGGCTGAAGAGTGTTGGGGTCATGTGGAGGGTTGGGGTGTTGAGCGAGCCTCAGGCTTGTGACTGAGGGTGCAGGAGTTTGGGCAGGGGTGCATGAGGGACTATGGGCAAGGAGGCTGGGAGTATGATGGCCTCAGGACACAGATTTGCAGTGTGGATGGTACAGGAGTATTGTGGCAGAAGACTGGGGATGTGGGGATGCAGGAATTTGGGGATGAGAGAGGCTCAGGACAGGGGGTTCCAGTGTATGATAGACTCAATTTTGGGGTTGGGAGGGTACAGGAGTGTTATGATGTCGCAGCCAGATGGGGACTTGTCCCCAATTGGGGGCTTGGTGGCCAGGCTTCATTTTTAAATATAATATTATGTCAAACACAACGGCTGTGTCTACATTGGCCCCTATTCCGTAATAGGGATGCAAATGTAGCACTTTGGAATAGGCAAATCCGCGGGGGATTTAAATATCCCCCATCGCGTCCAGACTGGCGTTTTTCTCCGGCTTATCTACAAGCCGGAAGAAAGTGGCAGCCATGTTAATGCAAATGCCGCGGGGGATATTTAAATCCCCAGCGGATTTGCCTATTCCAAAGTGCTACATCTGCATAGGGGCCAATGTAGACACAGCCCTCATGTTTCAGCATTGTCCTTATTTATGAGAGGGGCGGGGAACCTGTTTTGAGTCAGGGGTCACTGGTCCACAGAAAAGTCAGTCAGGGCCACACAAGTGAGATGCAAAAAACCACCTCTCCAAAAACCCCCAAGCCTCACTAATGTGGCTCCCACTGTGCTGATGGGGGAGGGGGGAGGTATGGGACAAGTACTGGGGCAAGGTGCTGGTGGGTCCTGGGGCAGGTGGCAGGGTGCTGGGGCAGGTGGCAGAGCACAGGATGCTGGCCATGGGGAGGGGACAGGAACAGCTCCGCCGGGACCTGGGACGCTGGAGACTCAGGAACCCGGGTCTCAGGAAGCGCATGGGCTCCTCTCTCCTCTCCTCTCCTCTCCTCTCCTCTCCTCTCCTCTCAACAGCTGGCGTGCTTCCTGAAACACCAGGTCTGTTGCTTGGTCAGGGACTTCCTTCCCCCTGCTGCCTGCCTGTGTGTGTGTATGGGGGAGGGGAGGATTCCCAGAACTGCATGCCAGCTCCAACTTCTCAGGAAGCGTGTGCTTTTCCTCTGCTTTCCACGACAGCCCCATGCTTCCTGAGAAGTTGGAGATGGAATGCTTTTCCAGGATTCCTCCTCCTCCTCTCCCCTCCCCCCTTGCTCTAACCCAATCCCCTTCCCCAGAGCCAGGCACTTCCCCCCCCCCCCCCCCCCCCCCCCCACCCCCCCCCCCCCCCCCCCCCAACCCCCCCGCAGCGGCTGCCGTACAAAGATCAAGCTGCCACCTGGGGATGGAGGAGGAGGTGGCATGGACGGATCAGGCTGTGCATGGCAGAGGTGTCCCACAGAGGGAGGGAAGGAGGAGGCCACACAGTGGTGGGGTGGGGACTAGCGGGGGGG